AACCGAAATACAGTGTGTTAAAAATAATCCAGTGGAACTATATCAAGTGAAGGTACTCAAATCAGAAACTGAGAAGTGACTGGTAGGCATAATTTAAAAAAAGCTTTCCCTAAGTAATGGTAATACGAAAAAGAAAATTGAATTTATGGCTAAATTTTCTGTGTTTTTGTCTAGTTATGATGTTTTCACAACTCCATGGCCAGTACTAGTCTGAAAGTTGCAACTGAGGCATTACAGTCAATAAAATACTAGCAGGCCAGTGCTTTGATGTTGCAGTTAGATATTCAAGAATGAATTCTGCCACCACCAAATGTATTTTGTAATACATTTGGTTGGTGGGGACATCCTGCACTCAGACCTCATTTTGTTGTGCACAATGGGAAGGACTCCAGTGAAGTTCCAGCTCTGCAGGCCATCACTTTCCTAAACGTAACACACACACACACCCACACACACACACCCACCCACACCCCCAAGCCTACCCTGCAGAAGACAAGACCTGATTCAAGCCCCAAAGGTGTGTTAAGCCACAGTCCCATGCTAACCCCAACTTTCATTTTAGCTCCCTGGGCTAGAGCAAGACTCCAGAGGGATTTACGTTCTCTGAAGGTCCTCGTTTCCCTGCCCTCATCTCTAATCCTCACCCTTCGCTTACACTGAAGTAAACAAAACTTTCCAAGCTCCACAACTGTGTTGGGCTACAGAGATCTGATCAGTAGTAGCAAAGGTACAACTGATTGCAAACTGAATGCGAACTGAAAATGGGATCTTGCAAAGCAAATAAAAACACAAGAAGCGTCATCCAAAGAAAAACTGACCCCGAGAAGATCAATGAAGGTAACTAACTACTCAGTGGGAGAGAAGTCTGGGCCATACTGTGGTGCTTGTGTTTTGAGCACTGTATTTCAGGAAAAGCATGGTCTAATTTGAGTTCAGTAAGTAGAAAGGAAGCATTAAAAGACTAAACAACATAATGATCTAGGAAAGACTGAATGAACTGCTAGTGCTTTCCTAGCCTGAAGTATTCACATGGGAAAGAAACGTGACTGCAAAAAGGAAGAAAATATCTTCTGCACATGCGACTCTGATAGTAATAGGCCTTAATTTCAGCATGGAAGATCAAGTTAGACATTAGGAAAAAGTGAAGCATTGTAACAGAGTGAAGCACTGTAATAAACTGCCTGTGGAGATAACACATTTTCTTCAGTGAAGATCCAGTGTTAGTGAATGTGTAACTGATCTTGCTTTCACAGAAAAGAATAGATCGAAAGCCCTTTCTCTCTAAGGGAAGAAAAAACCCCACAGCTTTATATGGGATAGAACATGTTCTCAGGTACAAAAGCAAGCTGTACATTCTGCATCTGACAGGAGTCTTTATATAGTTTTCATATTTTTCCTTCTGTGATAGATTAGACAACAAACTTCTCTGTGTGCAAACTATAGCTTCCTACAGTTTGCACACAGAGTAGTATCCTGCTCAGTACGGCTCCTGGTGTGGCCCAGTTACAGCCCCAGCATTTCACAGATAAGCATCAGTTCATCCTAGAGTACATGGAACAGAGCCTTAATTTACAGGAGACTACAAAACTGAAATGACTCGAAACAGGAGAGAAGAAAACTACCATCCTTTGAAAGTGATTCGATTCAAGATGTGCTTGTCATTTTAACCACTTTAATCTTTTTCTGTACAATTTTGCACATTCCATCTTCATTCATTTCAGATACAAGCTTCAGTATTTTTACAGTGCTGTGTGTGTTCTCATCCATGCCTTGACCTTCTAGATAACATAATAGCTGATGACTGGTGTCTGAAGTTCTGTGAAAGATATTAGCATCCCTGCAAATATTAATATGAGCATGAAACGAACTACAGCTCCTCAGTAACTAGAACTGCTCTGGTTAGGTTTTACTTGGAGTAAAGTAACAGTACAGCCGGCATCTTATTATTAAACACTATCTATTTATATTACAGGAGTACCTGTCATTTCACCTGAGGATTGCTGCAGCCAAACTACACACTGCAAGAACATAGCCACAGCTATTGGGCAAGAATGGTAATACTGTGCGGCTGGGAGCTCCCACAGACACTTCAGACTGAAATTCTCAGCAATGTCACGACCACAGGCTTCCCAGCACTGCATGCCTGAATGAAGTGCAAAGTGCTCTTGTGAATACAAGGCTTCATTGGGAATTGTATACATGGGAACAATGGGACTGTGTGGTAGCCTCCAAAACACTGCTGGGCTAGCTAGTGTTGCAGTAATATGCAGTAAAATGCCTTCAGGCGTTTCAACGTAAGCCAAACAAAGCTTGCGTTCTTAAAAAGCAACTGAAACGGTTAAGCCAATAGTCTCGCTATTATCACTGTCACTAACTACTACACTCACAAACTCATTTTCCTAATGCATCCGCTAGAGAACAAGGTGGACAGTTACGTTTGCACTCCTTCTGCCTTGAGTCAGTGTAGGCTTGCAGCACTCTCCAGAACAAGTAACAGTGTCTCACTACAACCTCCACCTACTGAACCTGCAACCTTTCTGATTTTAACTACATCCTGTAGTGTTTTCTATAGCCCTGCTTGTTTTTTTCCCTCAATACCTGCCAAAAAGTAGCATTCTGAATAGGCTGTCAGAAAGGAGAAAACAGAAATGAATGTTTCATTATCATCTTTAGCCACCGAAGTGGTTGAAGGGGCTGTTTTAAGTTGTGTCAAACACTAAACCAACGATATGCAGTGAGCCCTTTCAATAACACTACTATAGTTAGATTGATATAAATAACAAACAGTTCAGAAAATTATCACTTACATCGACTCTACTGTTACACAAAGTGAACAATCACTGACTTCAGAATGGGAATGTATGTGAAAGTGAACAAGTCACAAGACTGTTCTGGGATTTCCCAAGAATACGCTGCAAAGGCCTATGTTCAAACAGGACAGCAAAGGCCTTAGGAGTACAGGAATAACATCAGGAACTGCAAGGCTATACATACAAATGACCAGTTATTTATACAAGATTTCGTAACAGCCTATTAAAGTTGCCTGTAACTCAGAACAAAGATAAAGCTGTCTTTAAAGCATATGCAGGTCCAAAGCAAAAACAACTAGCTGCACTGGCACTTCAGAACTGGTTATACGGAAGTGATCACTCTGATACCCTGCACTATACTACTATGCATGTAAATACAGTCTTATTATCATTCAGTGGAATTGTATTAGGTTTTGCTGACTGTTGTGGTTACTCACCTTTGAGGATTGGCTATCAAGTCTGGACACAACAACACAGCACTAGCGGGAGGAAAGCCAATATTCAGGCAACAATCACTGTTCAACAGCTCTTCCTGTAAAAAAAAAGAGCTCACCACATCAATCACACAGGCTTAGAAGACCCAAATATAATTCAAAACATGAGACCTTATATCACCTTTTACTTTGCTACATGTATTCTCTCCACAGAGACTGAACAGAGTTCTGGTTGATGTTTACAAAAGCAGCAGCCTCCTGGAGCACAAGACACAGGGAGTCATTGCTCAAGATGCTTCTAGAAAACAGGAGGAATAAATAAGATAGCCCTGAACACTTTCTTAATCTAATCTAGCAAAAACACAAATAGGAAAAACAATTACTCACAAACAATTATCAAGCAGACAAAAGAGAGTTTTGCTTTATGCTACAAAAAGCAGGAAATCAGTATTTTACATATACAGACCATCTTGCAGTCAAACAGATTTAAATACCAACCATCAAATGAAAGTCCAGGAGAGACATAGGTTATATAGTACCATAGTAGTATAACATACCTATACATATAGTAGCATAACATACCTGTTTGACAGAGTGAGAATGCCCATCAAAAGGCTCAAAGTATAATTTGTGAAAAGCTTGTGATAGGGGAGGAAAAAATACTGTTTTCCAGTTGTCCGGCGTCACACATTTGAACTGAAACACTTTTTATTTAGCTTTGCTATACGCTTAAAGCAAACCATTTCTACTAAGATCACTCAACTTGGGGAGCATCAAATACAATTGTGTTCCCTCCTGAAACACATATACTAGAAATTAACTAAAGGTAGGCACTACAAATTGTTTGAGGGAAACAAACAAAACTTCCACTAAAGACGATCTCGTTAACATGCCTCAATAGTTAGGAAAATAACGTGCAACAGTAAGAAGTTCAAGACAGGGTTGTTCTGAGAGCAGCAAGACAATTAGAGGCTTTGAAATTCCAAGTTGGTCTGGCTCTAAAAAGGGAATTTGGCCTGCCTTGCTCCTGCTCTGATCACAGAACAAATATACTTACTATTGTTATCATGTTCATAAAACCTATGCATAAAACTCTCAAATACCAGACTATATAGCCTCTTTAGTGCCTAACTATCCTTACAGTAAGCAAGATTTTTCTGTAATACAGAACCTACACAAAGGTAACAAATTTGCAGCAACTGTGTGATTACAGAATTAACCAATCTTTTAAATATTATAAAGTTTTTGATTCCCTTCTACACATTTCTGTTCTCCTTTGCAAAATGCCACACCTCTTTGGCCTTTTCTACACAGAAGCTGCACCTCTATCATAATAAGCACATTATCTTATATGCTTCTGCTGATGTATAAACCAGGCACAGAAAACTCTCTGCTTTTCCAAAGGACAGGACATGAGTATATTCAGAGAGACACGACTCCCATGTAGAAGAGATCTCGGGACCACATGTTCTACTGCTTCTCCTCATTGTCGTACTATTATTAGTATTAGTTCACCTAGAGCAATGTCACTAACATTCATTGTTTCCAGGCATAACAGCTCTCCCTGAAACAAATGAACACTCTGCAAAAAATAACTGGCCATATGCAGCAGCCACCTCCAGGTGAGAAGTGAGAGAAACCTGACCTTCACTTATGAGAGGCTTTAGATGGGAAATATGGATGTATCTCACATGGAAACAGCTACAATGGCATTCAACTGTAAATACGGTGCTGTTAAATAACCACACTTTCCACATTTCTTTTTCACATTTTTATTAATCAAAGACATCACAACTTTCATTTTGAGTGATTAGACAGATCCCAGGATGTTTTGTTGGCTAAAATAAGCTTAACTAAAAGATATATTACAGAATACATAATGGATTTGCTGTAACACAGCGCTCTCCCCCTCGCCCTTGCTATGACCGAGTGAACTGGCATCTTGGAAGCCAGGATAGCACAAGCAAAGTTGCTCAGAACAGGAAAATGGCATTGGCAACGCACCACTGCTCCTGCAGAGACAAGCAGGTACTTCATGCCAAGAGCTCCAAGACAGAAAACGAGGATTTGTCATTAGACCTGATTGAGAGGGTCCCCAAGTACCAAAGTATCAAAGGCCTCTCTCCATCACTGTGCATCAGAACAATGTACAGAAAATTTGAGCTCTAGAACTCTTACACATACAAATTGAGCATTCTTCTTCATGCTATATATATATATATATATATATATTGTTGGCACTTATAGAGTTGCAAAAAAGACAAAATATAAAGTTCTGCAAGTTTTTATTCATTATGCTTATGTGGAAGCTTTAAGGGTTAAGTTTACCTGTCGCTGCTTTCAATAAAGCCAAGAGCTAGCCACATGAAAAAATAAACCAGCTGTGCCATTTAAATTCCTTAGCATTTTATAAATATTTTCAGTTATACTAAGAAATACTTAGTGCAAAGCACATGCTTAGCTTAAATCCCAGATTCAAGAGGAAATATAAGCAAAACTAAAAACAAAAGTTTATAAAAGAAGCTAGTACAGTGTTGTCCACATGCTCACAGAAATATAAAAAGAGGAAAGGTGCTCCTTGCTTATAGCATTACTTAGCTTTTGGTTTAAGAACTTTAGATGCTTTCTCCAAAAATAGTAATACTTACGAGGTTCCATTATTCATTTGTAAAAAGAGGGAAGAAAACCTGATGCTCTGTTAGGAACAAGGAGTCTACATTCAAACTAAGTATTTCAGCCATAAACAGTGCAACAAGTTTATACTGCAGTCCAACGCTACCTGCGTTGAGAGCAAAACCTTTGCCCACTGTGCAACAAGGTAGCATCCTAAAAAAAACCAAACAGAAATCCCAACCAAAAATAAGTACAATTTATGAAACAATACAAAATTACATTTTTTCAGCACAAAACCTGTACTATTCCTTCCTCTCCACACCTCCCACCCAAGTCTGCCCAGGTTCTCCACAAGGTAACGCTATTCCCGAACAAGGCATTTTCCCCATGCATATGGCATGCCAAAATAACTGAATTCTCTCCATCTGGTAACAATATATGTCTCCTCTAGATGAATGTATACAATAATTTAAGAGAAAGAACCTTAAGAAACAGAATGTAACATTACAAGGTAGTATTCCAGCCTACAGTTAGGAACCAAAAGCGCGAGAAGAATGTGTATAATTTCAGCTTGAAAGTGCAGTATACAAATCAGGGTTGTTAGAGAAGCATCCATAGCACGGTCATTACAGAGGCAATACTAAAAGCTGCTTTGTTAACCCCAGTAATTGGGCTCTTGTTGCAGAAGTCCCGCTGGCAGCAAAAGTATTCGAAATTATCCAACTGAAACAATACAGCAATATCATTCACATTGCACTGGGATGTCTTCCAGCAGGAGAAAGTTCTCAATTTACCTACGAAATAATTGAACAGATTAAGAGAATATTGAAAGTAGTATGGTTTTTGCTACGGAGAAAGAATCGCTGCCTAGACTGCCGTATACTTGCTTTAGCTTCTTGTCATGTGTTCAGAAGCTTTCAAACTTGCTTTCACTGGGAATCTTTGCACTGGTAGTGCAAATAGCAACAGGAAGCTGTGGTCTTGCCTTCACTGCACTCTCTTCTGGCTCTTATCCATACGTAAACAATTTATAGCTCAAGTGAAGCAGCGCTTCACACTCAAACCAAGCAATCTATTAGGAAACAGGGTGGAGCTTGAATGTTGCCACCTCTGGGGCTTCCGGCAAGGTGTCTCAACATCTCTGCTAATTCACACTGCGCAGCTCATGCACTGACGCTCTCCTCCTCTCCCCCACCCCCAGATTGGAGCAAGTGGAGTAACTCCTGCTAGGTTTTGTGCTGAAGACAAGTCCAATTGGATCTGACTGGCCTCTTTTCCACACTGAACATATGTGGAAGACAAAGGAGAGAAGACAGAGCTTGAAGAGTAGGAGAATGCTCCCTCCCTTCTCCTCACTCATTCCCCAAAACACCAGAAGTTAGCCCAATTCGTCTCCCACTCATCCCTAGCTTGACACCTCAAGCACTTGACTCCCAGCTCTGGCAACAGACAACCATCATAGGCTGGAAAGCATTTGCTTTGTGCTCATTTCATCAAGTTTTAGGCTCAAGGGAAAGATCAAGAGAAAAATTTCTTTAGGACGTTGGTGGGCAAGCAGAGTCCTGGTCCAGGAGTGCTGGAAGCATCCTTCCTCCGTGCCAAGCCATGAGCTTTAGCAAGGATCATCCTGGGCATCAGAGGAGTTCCATCCTGTACCAGTTCCTGCCATCCAAAAACTGCACAGCCAAGTCTTTCTAGCACAGGGGGAACCAGTTGAAAAAGGAGACTTTTTTGGTTTACTCCTTACTTCACTGCCAAGGGACCTGCACTAAGACAACAGCTGCAGGAGTCGATCTAACGTAGTACTCTAAGCTGGCAGATCCATTTAGGCATAGCTTATGCTTATTTCCCTGCCAGACAGCCTGCTACCTATGACTGCAAACATCCCTGTATACAAAGTACAGGATGCCAAGCTGTCATTTTGCTTGGACAGTCAGGGGCCTCCAGTTAGATAGTTCTTAACTTCAGAATCTCTTCCTTTAAAGAAAAAAATCAAATCAAGAAATTGTGTTGAGTAAATCACAATCCAAATGAAGTCAGTGAAGACTGCCAGGTTTTAGCACCTCCATTGCAAATAGCCAGCAACCTGCAAGCCCTTAGTGCTGCAAATAGATACTTTACGGTTACAGAGCTAGAACTGACCTTCAGCTGAGGTATTTATCTAGTGTCACATTAGCCCCCTATTTGTATTAGAAATCAAACTTCAAAACAACCCCATTTAACATCAAATTCAGAAAAAGTCATTTCCTCTATGCTTTGTGAGCTATTCCATCCTTGCTTCTTTAGAGCTAGGACGTCTAAAGTAACACGTATATCAAACAAATGCAATATGTAATGAGTTCTTGGTAAAATCTGGTTTTGCACTGAAACTCCTGTCACCTGGATTAAAAAAGCTGGATGTTACTTAACAACTAGAGCAGTAACTTTATCTATGCCCTGAATGCCCTTCATAATCTTGCTGAAACGTAGGTTACTTCACTATCAGGAAAAAATAATGTTTTAATTATTTCAATTCATGGACTGAGTCTCCAGCCGCAAGCTTGTTTTGAGTTACACATGCTTTATTTTTTTTTCCCTCTCCAGATGTAATAAATTCAAGGCAAAAATGTTGTCCTCTACGGTCAATGCTGTCTCCTGTTGTTTTCCAGCTACCTTAGTTCTTTATTTTATCTGTATATACAGATATCTGCGTATATACACTTTCACAAGTATAAATCAGTGATATAAATTATCATTATCAGTTGCTCAGAAGTCAAAACATATCAATTTATTATAAGCATGACCTTCAAAAGTATTCACAAACTTCTTTAGAGAGAGGCCAAGAAACGTGTATTACGTTCAGATCAGAAGTGCACAGACAACGTAAACTGATATAACCATACTTGTTTTAGGACGGCAGGACAGCATACATACCAGATTTCATCTGCAGGCAAGTATCTTCAGGAGCTATGCAAGTACTATTGGTCTTGCACAAGGTAGGACTGTTCTGACAGTGGTAGCATCTTAGAGTATAACCTAAGAAGATAGGGCATTATCTTTACTGAAGAATAAAGTAATGAAACCTCAGCAGCATTAAAAGAAAGAAAAAGAAGAAATGCTATCTGCATCTGACTGTCACAAAACACATCCCTGGTTATTAAACTACAGACTCAGGCTGAAATTTATCATCTTTTTGTCAGTGCACATACTGAAACTGACAATTTTGAAAGAAAGATTTTTCAAATACGCAGTTATATCACTTTTATGCCTCTCTCCCTCCAGCATATGTTAAATTCTTTTTCTTCTTCTCTCTCATCTTAAAAATTGCCTTTTTCAAGAAAATAGAGAATGAGACACTTATCAGAATTTTTTCTACCCTTTATTTTACCCCAATTCTCTTTTGTGCTATACATCTATTTCCAATTTATATACAAGAATCTAATATTCTACCAGCAAAACAAAATACTTGGTTGCTCTATTAAGCAGCATTGTATTCTGCACTCAGTTCTCTGTACTGACCAAAGATGATCAACTACAGAAACTAAGCCCCACTTATAAGGTCACTCTCATTCAAAAATGTGGCATTAAATAATACACTATGGCATTAAATGTGGCATTAAATAATAATACTGCCCCCCCCCACACCTCTCCCTAACACGACATCAGCAAAGAAATTCCGTTATACTCACCAGAACTACAGAAAGCAACCAGAAAAATGCAGACAGTTAACAGGATGCAATTCATCTTGATCATGCTTCTTTCCTAAATGGAAAGTAAAAATAGATTGTAAACATTTATTACATTTAAAATCTACATGAAACTAGCAAAATACACGGTGAAGAATAAAAGTCTCAGATCTGATTCAGCACGTAACTGAAGTCATTGGCCAGGAAAACTACTGAGCTTTGGGCCTCCTGACAGGCTGTAGATCAAGCAATCTTTCTTCCCTCTGATCCAACAGGTCTAGTTAATTCAAATAGCTCCCTTTCACAAATACATGTAATAAAGAGAGGTCGTTTAGGTCCTGAATGCCTTTTCTTTTAAAAGTAATTCACCAGTAAATTTGCTTCTCTGCAGCCAGGCTGTACTTCTTACTTCTCTCTTGTCAGGGGCGATGTGTACCAGAAGACGATTAGGAGCAGCAACAAGGTATTTTCTCAGTGCCAGAAGCCCTGGGAAAGCGCACATAATATGAAGACTCGTGTCAGTGGCAAGACAGACGGGTGCGCGTGAGCTATCCGAGCGCACATATTAAAACCAGGGCAAGGATGTGAGAGAGGGAAGAGAATCTCGATGCAGGCATGTAGCAAAGTAACTTTAATCTGTAAACACAGCTGTATTCTCACATAATAAGGTATATAAGAGAGGAGGGAATATGAAATAAACAATCTTGCTTCACCACACGCAAGGCTCGTGCCTCAGTCCCCGAACTCTCTGGCAGGTTGGCAAGAGAGCTGTCCGTACTGCATAGGCTTTGCCCCTCCTCTCCCAAAAGTTCTCCAAAGTGCGCCTCAATATGCACCGAAACGTTGACGTATGCAATAACTCATCACATGACCTCAGTCATGGCTCCAGTCTTCCATGACTACTCTAATGGGTAGGAAGGACGGGCTTTTTTTTAAAAACACAGGTGCTCCAAAGCACAGCTTGGAATTACTGGATACAGGCTTCCGTGCGCACAGAGTCTACAAACAGGACTACCCACAATAATATCTACTGCAAACTTCTTTGCAATTGCAAAAAATAGGCTACTCAGATTAGGTACCAAACAGACTGGAAAACAGGGTTTCATAATAAAACAATACTAAAAACCTTCTCAATCTGTAAGTTTGTTTCATGAGTAGAAAACTGGCCAAAACCACCAAACTACTCCCCCACCAACCCCAAAAAAAGAAAGGCACTTTTTCCTGTCTTTATTACCGACTCCCAAGCAGGAGAGCTGAAGAAACTTAACGTGCAAGACCAGATCTTTTTCCGGGTTGAACGACTTAGTGAGAAGTCTCCCAAAAGCCAACGCTTTAGGGTTCTTCCCACTATGACATCAGACTGCAGAAGTGCTGCTGGTCAAAACAGCAGCCATTAGGAACAGCAAGAAAAACCTCTCTTTGAATCGCTCGATCTTACAGGAGCCCCCAGTCATCAACGTTATCAACAGAGTCCTGCAGAAAAAGTTTCGCCTCCAGCAAAACTAAGTTGAGACCAGAAGAAGATAAAGAAATCATCAGTGCTAGTATAGTTGCTCTGACAACAGTAACTCTACCAACGTATCTACTTCACGTAAAAGGCGTACTTCCTCCCACACCGTGTTCCTGAACTACAAAGAGATGAAACACCACCAAAACCTTAGGTTTCTCACTTTCTTCCTCTCACCCTCTTTCATAGTCAGCCATCCACAACACAGCTCAAAAGACGCTGCCTCAAAACGGAGCAAAGCAAAAAGCGTTCCCAAGCCGAATTTTCCAAATGACTATTTTAGCTGCAGCCTCTGACCAGCCTCA